CTTGATCTTTCCAAATAGAGTGTCAACTTAAGCAGAAAGTGCGCCTCCTTTCTAATTCCCCACTGAGTTAACTCTCGTGGAAGAATCTTGATTTAGCTTTCCTTCTCCATCTCTGGATAGGATAAATCTCCATTTGAGTTGTTTCCTCATTGGGTGGAGTCTGGTTTGACTATTTTCTCTCCAGTTTATTCCTGGATTGAGCTTTGTCTCTTGTGAACGATACCCTGTGGATCTCTCTAGGCTGTGAAACCTAGATGGAGAGTGCATTTATTTTGCAACGTAAATACTTGGTCTCCTCAGGAAGGATTTATTCATGGTTCCCCATTGAAGATGAGCTTTATTCCCCAGTAGTGTTATCACAACCTTCTTCCGGAATATCGACATGACAATAAGCGACTGACTCTTTATTTGAGCAGTTTGATTATTTCTGATTTCTTTTTGACAAATGGCGGTCTCTTCATGAGCAGTTTGTCCATCCTCGGTGAAATTATTGACTCTCACCTCCAGTAATATCTTCATGATATTTTATGGGTATCCTTGACAAACAACAAGCGGCAGTTTCTTCATGAGACAACTTGTGTGTTATGGATACTCTTGACAAACAACAAGCGGCAGTTTCTTCATGAGACAACTTGTGTGTTATGGATACTCTTGACAAACGACAAGCGGCAGTTTCTTCATGAGACAACTTGTGTGTTATTGATACCTTGAAAAGACAACAAGCGGCAGTTTCTTCATGAGACAACTTGTGTGTTATTGATACCTTGAAAAGACGACAAGCGGCAGTTTCTTCATGAGACAACTTGTGTGTTATCGATACCTTGAAAAGACAACAAGCGGCAGTTTCTTCATGAGACAACTTGTGTGTTATTGATACCTTGAAAAGACGACAAGCGGCAGTTTCTTCATGAGACAACTTGTGTGTTATCGATACCTTGAAAAGACAACAAGCGGCAGTTTCTTCATGAGACAACTTGTGTGTTATCGATACCTTGAAAAGACAACAAGCGGCAGTTTCTTCATGAGACAACTTGTGTGTTATCGATACCTTGAAAAGACAACAAGCGGCAGTTTCTTCATGAGACAACTTGTGTGTTATCGATACCTTGAAAAGACAACAAGCGGCAGTTTCTTCATGAGACAACTTGTGTGTTATCGATACCTTGAAAAGACAACAAGCGGCAGTTTCTTCATGAGACAACTTGTGTGTTATCGATACCTTGAAAAGACAACAAGCGGCAGTTTCTTCATGAGACAACTTGTGTGTTATTGATACCTTTTAAGAAAACAGCAAGCGGCAGTTTCTTCATGAGACAACTTGTGTGTTATTGTCACCTTCGAAAACATCAAGCGGCAGTCTCTTCACGAGGCAACTTGTTATGTTATTAACAACTTTAAAAAACAACAAGCGACAGTCTCTTCATGAGCAACTTGTATGTTATTGATACCTTGAAGAAAACAACAAGCGGCGGTCTCTTCATGAGCAACTTGTGTGTTATTGGTAATTTTGAAAAGAAACATCAAGCGGCAGTCTCTTCATGGACAACTTGTATGTTATCAACACTTTTTGAAAACGGCAAGTGGCGGTCTCTTCATGAGCAGCTTGTACGGAAAACGGCAAGTGGCAGCTTCTTCATGAGCAGTTTGTACGTTAGTATTTTTTGGAAGACAGCAAGTGGCAGCTTATCTATTTGAGCAACTTGTGTGTTATTGTTCCCTTGAAAACGGCAAGTGGCAGCTTCTTTATGAGCAGCTTGTGGATTTTTGGCAACAAGTAGCGGACTCTTCATGAGCAGCTTGTGTGCTTTAATATTCTTTGAAGACAGCAAGTGGCGGTCTCTTCATGAGCAGCTTGTATGTTACTGACACCTTTGAAAGGAAGCAAGTGGCGGCCTCTTTATTTGAGCAGCTTGTGTATCCCCAACAATAATGTTTACTCAGCAAATGGCATCTCTTCGGAAAAGTCCCGTGGGGAAGTTTGTTATTTTATCCTTTTCAAGCGATATCTTGGTTAAAGAAGAAATGTGTTACCGTTCTTGGTAAAATTCAGAAATCAGAGATGTTTATCTCTAGCCACAGTGCTGATGTCGATCATTTTGTTTCCCAGCCACAGTGCTGATGTCAATCATTTTGTTTCCCAGCCGTAGTGCTGATGTAGATCATTTCTTTTTCCAGTCTCAGTACTGATGTCTATCATTTCCTTTTCCAGTCACAGTGCTGATGTAAATCATTTCTTTTTCCAGTCTCAGTACTGATGTAAATCATTACCTTTTCCAGTCTCAATACTGATGTAAATCATTCAAGAGTCTCTCATTTGAAGTCTACGACTCTGTTTCCCCAGTGGAGTTACAACCTCTTCCTCTGTAGGATTACTGTGTAATGTGCTTGGTTTCTCCAGCATAGTCTGTCTCGTATGGCGTCATTCCCCATAAAATTCAGAGCATCACATTCATATCATATCATGAACATAATCGCGGTATCATAAGGCCAAAAATTGTGTATTCTATATTTAAGTCCCTTCAATCTCGTCGAAATGAAGATCCCAATCTTCATATCTCCAGATAGAAGAAACTTAAATAGGGGCAGCTGTTGTACCCCAATTTTTGACCTAAGATCCCATTTTTTATTTTTTGCATTTTTAAGATAAGTCAAGGTCACGAAATACAGTCGGTTTTTAACGTCTCACCTTCGAGCTTTGACTATGTGAAGATTGTCAAGTGTTTTGAACATTTTTAGCATATGTATCACTAATTTCTAATCGCATACAAAGGTGTATGTTCATGTTCTTTTGTGTCATGTGCAGAGACAGGTCCGAATCAAGAGCATCAGGTGTCGCGCCTCAATTAAGGTTTTGAGTCTCCCAAGCCAGAAGTACGGTTGATTGTGGATTCTCGAAGACTGATTCATCAAGGCACACCGTTGCCCCCTTTATTTCGCCCCTAATGTTTTAGTCGCACTTTCATATCATATTTTGTCATTTGGTCACAATCATTAGTAAATATCTTCATTCATCATATTTTGCATCATTAGTCGTATTTAAGTTGACCGGACAAAGTCAGTTTAAATCAAAGTTTGCATCGTCTTTCAGTTGTAAAATACCCGACATTTCATTTCATTCATTTTCTTGCATTGCTCCAAGTTGTTTATACGTCGATAATAAAAATATTTCGGTTTTATAGACAAACTGTTAAAAGCGATTCGACACTATGCGGGAAAGTAGCGAGAAAATATTTCAAGTTTTCACCTTTTTACCGATCATTTTATGAATCTGCGCTTCGCGTAGATTATGACGGTATGCTCGCTTTATTTTTTCGGTACAGTTCGAAGTCTTGTTGTTAACCTTAAACGTCTGTTTAGTCTGATATTTTTATTATTATTTTATTTTGATTTTTGACTTCTTGAATATTTTTTCTTTAATCTTTGTGACATGTAGATTATTTTAATGTGTTCATTTTATTTTTTCGGATAAATTTTCGTCCGGTCATTTTGGGTCTTTATTCTTTATTCATAAAACATTCAAAAAAAATCATTTAAATTGAGTTAATTTTAATACATTTAGTTTTTTGGTTATTTTTATCATTTAAGGACTATTTGGTCACAAAAATATATTGTTACACTATACTCTATTCCTATTGGTTGTTGGATGAGATTGAGGATCGATACACACACAATGCTATATTCCTATTGGCTCTTGGATGAAATTGAGGATCACACCACCATACACCCTTTCATCTATTACCCAATCACCATCATCAACATCACTTGGGGGGGGGAACAAAAAAGGCATAGCAGAAAACAACTCATACCTCTTCTCTCTTTCCAACGTTGCAATTCCCTCTCTCCCATTTCATTTTCTCAAATTTACTCACTCATAACTTGTTTTTTTTATACCTATACATGGATCACCACCACCAAGTACTATTGATTTTTTCATTCTTACTAACAATTCATTTATCAATATCAGTGTAATTTCAACAACATTCTGTTAACAAATGTGACTACACAGTCTGGCCAGGACTTCTCTCCATTCCGTAAGTTCACCAACAACTACACCATCATCATTGTAACTTCCATCAACACCCACATGCCTACTACCCCTGTCTCCATATCTCTTCCTCTCTTCCCTTGCAAAACCACTATAACCCAGCAATCCAAATTTCCCCCTCCAATTATTATTCATCCATTCATCTTCATTACAAAACAATTTACTTTCACTATCACTATTACATAAGCTTCGTTTCTGTTCCATTTCATCACTCGGAGTAGCAAAACATGGTAATGGATGATTCCACTGATCTCCTTCCCATCGGAATGCGTGTTCTTGCCGTCGACGACGACCCCACTTGCCTCAAAGTCTTGGAAACTCTCCTCCGAAGATGTGAATACCATGTTACCACAACTAGTCAAGCTATAATGGCATTGAATATGCTGAGAGAAAACAAAGACAAGTTTGACTTGGTTATCAGTGATGTGCATATACCAGATATGGATGGATTTAAGCTGCTTGAACTCGTGGGGCTTGAGATGGACCTTCCTGTCATAATGTTGTCTGCGTATGGTGATACGAAGCTGGCGATGAAGGGGATTTCTCATGGTGCTTGTGATTATCTGCTGAAACCTGTGAGATTAGAGGAGTTAAAGAATATTTGGCAGCATGTGATTAGGAAGAAGAAATCTGATTCAAAGGGGAAAAACAAAACCAATAAGCCAGATAACGCTACTTCTGATAGTTGCAGCGGACTGAGATCAGCGGGAACTGAGAATTCAGATGAAAATGGAAGGCTGGCTAAGAAAAGGAAGGATCAGGATGAAGATGAAGATGAGGTTAAAGAGAATGGTAACGATAATGAAGACCCATCAGCTCAGAAGAAGCCCCGAGTTGTTTGGTCTGTGGAGTTGCACCGCAAGTTTGTCGCTGCTGTAAATCACCTAGGCATTGACAAGGCTGTACCCAAAAAATTCTTGATATGATGAATGTCAAAAATATTACAAGGGAGAACATGGCTAGCCATCTCCAGAAGTATAGACTTTATCTGAAAAGAATTAGCTGTGTGGCAAACCAACAAGCTAGTATGGTGGCAGCCTTAGGGAGTGCTGATCAATCTTATTTGAGAATGGGTGGTTCTGGACATTTTCACAGTAATGCTTTCAGATCTTTTTTGGCTAGTGGGATCATTAGTAATCTGAACTCTCCGGCTGGTCTGAATGGACACGGATTTTCTCCATCCGGATTACTTCAGTTGGGCCAATCACAAAGTTTAAACAATTCTTCTGGTGATCAATTTAAATTCCAGTCGGCCATAACTCTCGTTAATCAGAATATTCTTCAGGGTATGCCAATGTCTATAGGATACGATCACTTGCAAAACAGCAAAGGTTCATTTCTCCTATAGTTGGGGAGCTCAGTAAGAAGTATCCTAATGTGGCAACTTATAAGATTGACAATTGATCAGGAAGCAATTCAAGACACATTGAGCAGGTTGCAGATTACATCTGTGTCAACACTTCACTTCTTTCAAAATGGGAAAAAGACTGATGAACTTATAGGTGCAGATGTTGCGCGATTGAATCATATTACAGAGAAACTCTTCAAGAAGGACTAACTCCGACGCTGAGGTGGGAATTGATGTTGACTGATTGAGTACTAAGTGATAAAACTGCCACTGCACAGTCCGCCGTCGAAGTCAGATCCGCGCTTAACACCAACCTAAGCTACCGCTGACTACCCCTTCGCTCCGAACCTCCGATGGGATTCCACAACACCGCTAGCCCCAACCCTGTTCCGCGATTTCCAGCGCCTCAACCACCATCAATGCATGAACCCAACCTCCCTTATTCCTCTCTCTAACAAATCATAACAATTCATTTCATTTCAGGAAAAAGAAGCTAAGAAGGGATCATTCAGAAAATATCTTGAATCAAGTGGAGTTGTTGATGCTCTAACCAAAGTTCTTGTTGCCTTGTATGAGCAAAACGACAAACCTTCTTCTGCTCTTGAGTTCATTCAACAGAATTTAAGTTGCCCTTCAAATTCCGGTTCTTCTCACTACTACTGAATGGGATGAATGCTAGTCCTGGTTAGATCTCTCTGTTCCCCTTTAATTTTCAGCCTAGCGAAATTCTGCATATACCCCCTATATTAGCTTTACCCCATTTGTTTTAATTTATTTAGTTTAATATTAATCTTCTCAACTTTATTTTTAATTAATTAGTTTAATTTTGTTCTTTTAATTTTCTTAACTTAATAATTTTCAATTAATAAATTTAGCCATAGAATAAGTTAATAACTTTGGAATTTATTTTAATATTTGTTTTAGTTTGACTAACATTTGTATTAAATTTTCTTAGTTAAATTTTTTATTTCATGCATGATTCTTCTTTGTCTCTTTAATTAAACTCTCGTTGTCTTTTGTCATTAATTGTTTGCTTAGATTTTTTTCTTGTAGATCTTTGAGTGCTCATGCTTTGATATTCATTTTACGGTTTCTTGCTTGCTTAAACTCCAAGGGAAACGTTCTAACTTTGTTGACTTCATGTCATCAAACACATGTTATACGATTAAGCGAATACCCTCCTTCATCTTTGTTTTACTGTTTTGTTAAACTTAAGATAACTTTCCCAAAAGACTCCATTTTCAAACTCATACCTTTTAAGTCAAAACTTCGACACTAGGTCGTCGCATCTTCAAAAATCTCGTCCATACCCATTTTTAGCCAAACGAACCATTTTTATCAAACAAACAATTTTAACCAAGAAACAGATATTTCAAAAGGTTCCTGCGGAGTACCGCAGATGCATTGGGTGCTAATACCTTCCCATTGTATAACCAACCCCCGAACTCTCGATCTCTTTCAAAAACGCATTGTATTTTTATTACTTTTAAGTATTATTTTACATTGCATACTTTAGGGTTTTATTTCGCTCTTTTCCCTTTTCCCTTGGAAATAATAAAGTGCGGTGGCGACTCTTGCTTTTGTGAGTCAAGTTAATTAATAGCTTGATCTCTGATTTTCACCGCTACACCTGGCTTCAGCAATACTGCGGCATAACAATTAATGTGTCCATACATTACATCCATACGTCATAGAATTGACAACACAGATACATACGACACAATCTCATTTATTTTGAGAACATCATTGTACCATGCATTTCATACATCATGACATTGCATGAAACTAACCTTTCATCTTTTTCAGAAAGGATCAATCAACAGAGAATTATCGTCAAATTTTCAACAAGTAAATTACAGATCAATTCCCAAGAAAGGAATGATCAACCATCTACATAATAGATATTTCTTTCAAGACTTTTGGTTCAATTTAAACCCCTCAACGATTTATCCTGATACTTTCCAAAGGGACATTTTTGGTTCAGATAAATCACTCAAAGATTTACTCTGATTCTTTCCAGTTAAAGAATATTCAAGATCTCTTTTGGTTTAGTTTAAACCCCTCAATAATTTATCCTGATACTTTCCAAAGGAACATTTCTGGTTTATATAAATCTCTCAAAAGTTTATTCTGATTCTTCTCTAGATCACAGCCGGTTCAGATAAATCACTCAATGATTTATTGTGATTCTTTCCCGCAGACACTTTCTCTGGTTCAGATAAATTGCTCAAATATTTTCTCTAATTCTTTCCAGTTAAAGAATATTCAAGATCTCTTTTGGTTTAGCTTAAACCCCTCAACAGTTTATCCTGATACTTTCCAAAGGAACCCCGTCGGTTCAGCTTAAACCTCTCAATGGTTTATCCTGATACATTCCAAAAGGAACCCTACCAGATCAGTTTAAATCTCTCAACGGTTTATTATGATTCTTCTCAAGATCCCTTCGGGTTCAGATAAATCTCTCAACGACTTATTCTGATTCTTTCCTGCAGATGCTTTCTCTGGTTCAGATAAATCACTCAAAGATTTACTCTGATTCTTTCCAGTTAAAGAATATTCAAGATCTCTTTTAGTTCAGTTTAAACCCCTCAACAGTTTATCCAGATACTTTCCAAAGGAGCACTTCCGGTTCAGATAAATATCTCAACAGTTTATTCTGATTCTTTCCCGCAGACGCTTTCTCTGGTTCAGATAAATCGCTCAAAGATTTAATCTGATTCTTTTCAGTTAAAGAATTTTCAAGATCTCTTTTGGTTAAGTTTAAACCCCTCAATAGTTTATCCTGATATTTTCCAAAGGAACACTTCTGGTTCAGATAAATTGCTCCAAGATTTTTTCAAATTCTTCCCAGTCAAACAACATACAAGACTTCTCCTGGTTCAGATAAGTCGCTCCAAAGATTTATTCTGATTCTTTTCCAGTTGAAATCAAGTTCAGATTTAGTCAATTATATGTCAACATTCACCCTTGGATGGCATCTACAAGCCCATCTCTGACAAATCTCCATCATTCCTCCAAATGGCATCTATAAGCCCATTCCCATTTCATCTTCGAGTGCAAATTTCTGGGCACTCTAGTGTCTAATCATCTTCCACCTTCAAGTCACGAATGGCAGATCTGCCAATCTAACTCTTCAGGTCTAAGAAGATTGAACAGGGGCAACTGTTGTACCCCAAAATTTTCCCTGATATTTATCAAATATTTTCTCACAAGATCTCCTTTGGTTCAAGACTGCACAAGGGTTGATCAACTCAAGACACCTCCTTAAGCACTGATGACTGAAATTAGGGTTTGAGATTGCACAAGGATAATTGAACTTTTAATGCCTCATATTACTTTCATGGATCATTATGGACTCTCAAGATTACTCATGTCAAGTTTCAAGTCTTGAATCACATTTTTGCTCAGTTAGTTAAGCAATTGACCTAAAAATTAGTTGTATCGGGGAAAAAGTCAACTATGGCCAATTTACAGTCAAACTTCATAATTTTTTATCCATATCAACATTATGAACTCATATATGTCATTTGATCAAGTTTGTACCATAATTCCTCAATTAATTTGATCAGATCATTAAAAGGGCAAAATGGTCAAAATTAGGGTTTTGACTGAGAAAGGGCAATTTCTGATGTTTGACCTAGCAAATGGTTAATTGGTTGGAAACATGATCTCAAGGACTCAATTGCATCATTTTGACCTAGTGGCATGACTCAAAACATTTCTCAAGATCATTTGATTGATAGTTGATTTTTAGTCAATTGATCAAAAGTCAACAATATACTGAAAAGTCAAACTTTGACTTTTTGGTCAAAATCAAGTGTCAAAGATCACAATTCATCAAAAAATGTAAAAATATGAAACTTGTTCATCAAGAAATAAAAAATTCAAGATTTCATTTTGAAAAGTCAAAATTTCCAAACTAAGAAATTTTTCTAAGTGTTGAAAACTTCATATTTTTTCAAAAGTTTGAGCCAATTTTTCACCATGATGCAAGATGATTCAAAAGAAACTTTCAACATGAAAGTTGTAGAGCTCCATGAAATCTAAAACATTTCTTTACACAAACCTCTAGAAATTCTTGGGTCTCAAGGTATTAATCCATGAAGTCATGGTCGTGAAACTAAAACACAGTGAAATTTTGAACATTTTGGTCAGTATTTTTACCTAACTTCTGATCCAAGTTTCGCATACTTCCATTTGGATTTTGCAAAAGTGATTCAAAGAGGGGATGTAGAGAATATTACAAGCTTTCCAAAATTTCCAAGAACTCCTTGATATCATTTGTGAGCAAGGAGAATCGAGGGCCAAAACTTGGGGTTTCAAGTTGTTTTGCAAAGCAAAATTTATGATGAGCATGAACCAAATCTCAAGCCTATGCTACACGATCTTGCTTTGCAGGCCTATAAACCTCAATATCTCTCCCTAATCAGAAGATTACACTTTCTTTTGAGCTATTATCCATTTGATTCAAGCTTTATCCAAGATAATTTTCCATTAATGGCACAAAGGCGCCATTGCCATTTACATAAAGCAAGCTTTATACAAAGTCAACTTGCATTGAGCTTTGCACTTGTTCCTTCTGCACAAACTTCTTCTACAAAGTCAGATAGACATGTTTAAAGTTGGTAACCACTCTAGATAGCTTTGTATTATGCATTGAAGCTATGTTTGTCAACCTTACTTCAAAAACAAGCCAAGAAGCCAAAACATGTGATCTTGTACTTCTGACCACCTCAAGTATCCAAACCTTTTCCAAACATATACACAGGTTATTTGCAAGAAAAGACACGAATTCACAAGCCCTAAAACACTCAAGAACTCAAAACTGAATCAAAAATCACCATTGTTGCACATTCTGACCAAAAACTTGAAACTCACATCTCCCTCGTGCGTTTTCAAGCCTTTTGGTTCCTAAAGCTTCCTTACGTCAAATACTACTCATCCCCGTCCTCATTCCAGAACTGTAACACCATTTGCCATAACCTCCATAACCAAAAAACAGAGTCTGCACATTGACTTCTCTAGACCATTTCAGCCATCTATTGCTCAGGCTAATCATTGCATTAGCTTCCTGGGACCTCAAGGAAGCTAACCTGATCATCACCATCACTTGAAACAAGCTCATTTTCATTTCAAGATTTCCAGTTTTGAGGTATTTTTCTTTAATTTCTATCTCATTACTTAGGCATTGTTAGGCTTACATTTGTGAAGATAAAACGTAGACATCATTGCACTAAAGTTGTACATGTCCATAGATTTTATTTATATTGATTGAGCTAGGAGAATTTTAGGATTGAACCTCTGAAAATAATTAGGTCAAAATTTGGTACTTTCAAAAATTCTAATTCATCTTTGATTTATAGTTTAAGATATTTATATGGTTGGATTCGTATGGAAAAATGGAGCAACTTTCATGTTTGTATTTTCTATTTTTGTTGAGAAATTAATGAGATATAGGTGGTCTGGCTGGAGGTTGAACATGAAGTGTATTCATGACTCCTTTTGTATTATATATTTATTATTTCAGTTAAGTTAATAGATGTATAGCCACCCCAGTGGTAAGGCAACACACTGGTAACCAAGAGGGCGTGGGTTCAACACCCAGCGTGCTGCCTTTTGCATTTTCCCACATTTTTTGTCATTTTTTCTTTCAGGTAGCGCTT